ACGGATGTACAGCGGTGGGCAACGTCCGAACCGACCAGCCCGACTTGCTCCCGGCTTCTCCTCCGACCCGCCCTCGACTCACCTTCCAGCTGCTGCTTCGACCCTGGGAAGAGCACAAAAGCCTCCCCCCCCCCGCACGCCTCCTTCCTCCCCTGAGCGATCCGGAAGAGGAAGTTGCTCTGACCTTCTCCTCGCCTCCCACCCTTTCTAGCAATGCAGTACTCGATGGTTGCAACTCCTCTTCCCTCCACCACAGATGCCGCTTTCTAGTCGCAGATGCTGCCTATCTGACCGTCATCTCGCGATAGGAGGGCGGAAGTCACGCTTGTCCCTTCTCGGCCTTTGGCGTCTAGAGAGGTTTTCGCCGATTTCTATGCTCTCCGGTCGTTTCCGCCCCCCAGCGACCGTCCTTTGCAACTGCGCCACGTGAAACAGCGAAAAGCGACGACGCTGCTTAATATACAAAGATTAGCTCCATGCTGAGCCCTAGAAGTGTCTGAAGTTCAAACAGAAATGCAGACTAAGAGTCGTAACTCTCCAAGCAAAGACCTTACTTACCCCATTCTGGACAAATGGCTGTCCAGTCTCCTCTTAAAAGCCTCCACGGATGGAGCACTCTGAACTTTTAGAGGGAAGCTGTTCCAGTGATTAATTGGTTTCACGGACAGGAACTTTCCTCTTAATTCTCGGTTGGATCTTTTTTTGATAAGTCTCCCTTCAGTTAGTTCTTTTACTGCTCTCAGGCACTTTGGGGAATAGGTTGACCCCCCTCTTAATGCATCAGCCCCTCAAATACCGAAAGACTATCCGGTCACCCTTAGTCCTTCTCTGCGTCAAATTAGACATATCCAGTTCCTCCAACGGCTCATCCGATGTTTTAGCATCCACTACGCTAAATATCTTTGTTACTCTTTTCTGCCCTCTTTCTAGAGTCTCAACATCTCTTTTTGTATCATGACTAAACCTGGATGCAGTATTTTAAGTGCAGCAATAATGCATTACTAACGTTTCATGTGATCTTGATACTATCCTTCTGGTCATGCAGAGCAGGACTGCACTCACTTTTTCTGCTGCTGCTGCATCGCATTGCTAGCTCATACTTAGGTGATTGTCCACTGGGAGCCCTAGATCCTCTCACAGATACTGCTGTTGAGAAGGATACAACCTTTTCTATAGATGCGCGTTTCGTTTTTCATCCCTTCGTGTAAAACCTCATTTTTTTCACCACTGAACTGCATTTTGCTCTAAAGGGCCCAGTGTTCCAGATTTGGCTATTTCCTCCCCCCCCCCCTTTCTCTCCCTTCATCTTGGCTCAGTTGCAAAGGCCGGTCACCGGGAGGGGAAAACGACCGGAGAGCATATATATCAGCGAAAACCTCTCGCAGACTTGCTAGAAAGGATGGGAGGCGAGGAGGAGATCAGAGCAACTTCCTCTTCCGGATCGCTCAGGGGAGGAAGGAGGCGTGCGGGGGGGGGGGGAGGCTTTTGTGCTCTTCCCAGGGTCGAAGCAGCAGCTGGAAGGTGAGTCGAGGGCGGGTCGGAGGAGAAGCCGGGAGCAAGTCGGGCTGGTCGGTTCGGACGTTGCCCACCGCTGTACATCCGTGACGGTCGCAGCATCCCACCCTCGTGGTCCCCGCTTGTGCCTTTCCC